TCACAGACTGTAAGTACGTCTTCATATTTAAAGAATTTGCCACTGATGATTCAAACACGAGTTTTGAGCAGTGTAGAGTAGCGCTTGTAGTTTGTCATTTCTCCGATCACAAATGCAGACATGGTTTTATGTTTACGCGGCGCGATGCAACGCAACCTGTAAAAAGACAGTATAAGTCATTATAATCAGTAATTATGTAATGGGTTTTATTGGTTTCGTCTCGTCGCACCGGGACACAACATCACAGTATGGTAGGGGCGTAACATTTCCGTCACACGCTTGAGGTATTCGGCCAATCACAACGCACTGGATAGCTGGCCAATCACAGCACACCTCGCTTTTCAGACCGATGAGCTTTGTAAAAATTGAGGCGTTTCAGAAAGGCGGGGCATAGAGGAGAAACAATAATGTACAGTATGTGGAAAATTATGTGTTTTTTTAACCTTAAACTGCATAAACACATTTCATTACACCAAATACACAAAATAATGTTCTTTTTAGCAACATCATATGACCCCTTTAAATGTATTTAAATAAAAATTACATTAGATTTTTTTTTCAAAGGCTTTTCAAAATACATAAATCACTTCACCTCGTTCGCTCCTTTCTGATATAGTGCACTCAACTGCCATACACTATAGTGATTAGTGAATGAGTGATCGAGTGAGCGATTTCGGACACAGCTCTTGTCTTTCATAAAGGCCGAAGAAAGCGATCTTGGACTTAAAAAGGTTGGTGACTACTGCTGTATACTAGCTATACAACCGTATACTGTTTCAGGAATGACAAACGCGAGTGTAAAAAATTATGCGAGTGCATCCTCTAAATTGTTCGGTGAGTCATTGCTATGATTGGCAGTGATGGAACAAACTATCTGACAAGCCGATAATACATATTTTAAATACATGTATCTGAAATATTACCCATCCCTGGTGGTAGGTTGCCAGGTTGAGGTCACAAATGGTTTGAGGTTTGTATGTTTCGATTGTGTGAATAGGATGCGTTTCATACAAGATTTGGCAACTGGACATCCTTGGAATAATATATTGATGTGATTATTTATATAATGAGGTTTGGTCCATACAAATTACAGGAGTTTCCTGGGAGAAATAGCAAAATGGGAGGGGGGCAGGAGATGGGTGTGAAGTATGGGAGACTCCCGGGAAAAAAATTTAATGTTGACACGTATGATCACCACCACGGGTGTGCATTATTTCTAATAATTAAATGGCCTGTCGTCAATTTTTCCTTACATATGAAATGGTCTGACATCTTAATCTACCGCTGATTAAGTTCATCCAGGTGAATGAAATGCATTCAATGCATTGTACTGAATTCCTGAGAAAGAGACTGAGGTCTTGGTCTGAATATAAGCATCCTGTCTGCACAGAAATGTCTGAATCCAGTTCAGATCATGGTAGTAGGAAGAATGAAAGAACTTCATGCATCTCAAGATTCAAAAATCTTGTTAAATGAGAAGAGAAATCGTCTTGTAGGATCTGATTTTCAACAAGGCATTGATTCATGAGTAAGACTTCAGTAAGGGTTGCAAGGTCATAAAATAGTTTTCTGGCTTCATAAAGAACAGGTCATTCAGGATTGGTCTGAAGGGGTCTTGTTTCTGATGATAAGATGACTCTCTGCTCATCTATCCGTTTGGCCTGGGAGCGAAGGATGAGGCTGAAGAAGTCTTCATCTGGGACTGTAGGGCCTCTGGTGTACAAGCCAAAAGCAGCTATTGAACATACCCTTTCAAAAATAGATAGATAGATAGATAGATAGATAGATAGATAGATAGATAGATAGATAGATAGATAGATAGATAGATAGATAGATAGATAGATAGATATAGAATACTAAATTAATGAATACTGGCCAGATTTGAAACAGATTCTATACTTTTTGTCTAGTCGGACCAGAATGACTAAACACACTATAGTTATGTCATATCAATTTGCTAAAGCCCTTGTGGAGCCATTGTTGTAAAAAATGTGCTAGATTGATGACTTATGGATGATTTTGGGTCATTTTGATTTAATTAGTCATATTAAAGGCTATTTCTCCTTATTTTCTCATATGACTTCTGGGTGGAGCATGAGGTTCAGGTCAGGGATGATCAGCAATTCTGTTATCCAAAAAAAAAAAGAAAATCATGACATACTTGACAATGGCTTCTATAATATAGTTGATAAATCAAATCCAAAGGTACATACTGATTTGAAGTTACAAAATCATATTCCATACTTCCACTTGTCAAGAAAGAGACATCTCTTATCATCAATGCAGGGGCCGCTGCTTGTATTTACAGGGCCTGAAGCTACTTTTTATCTTCTGTCAGGGAAAAGGAAAAAAGAAATTAAAGAATAAAACATAACAATTTAACAGTTTTTATTTTCATAAATTCTCTTGCATGTGAATTTCTATACTCTGCTTTCTCTATGTTCTCAGCTTTTCAATTTTTTGAGTCATTCTATTTAATAACTGACTAACAGTCATATATCAAATAGTCGTCCTTGTTCTGACAATCATGAGAATAAATGTAAGAATAATGGACTCTTAACTATACTGCAATTTAATTTTATATATTCATGCACTATTACTGTATGCATCAGAGCTAATTTTGCAAATAAATAAGATTTTCGGCATTGCATAAAATGCATAAATCATTGTACTGCTCTCTTAATATAACAAGAACAAAAAACGGGGTCATTAAAAAATTATACAGACATTGCTTACAGAATGTTTCTAATAAAATAACATATACTGCAATTCTGCAACGAATATATATACTGCAATTCAATATATACTGTAAGAATGAATAAATCAAAATGAGAATATATATATACATATATACATATAGTTTTATTACTATTGTCTACATCTTATTTGCATTGATCGCGTCCGTTGTAGACAAGGTATTAGTCTGTAAAATGACTAGAAAATTACTCTGTCTGAAGTTGAAAGGTTCAGAACAATTAAACTAAGATGTTAATTTGTCCCACTAATTCTCTAAAAGAGACCATTACAATTAACATGTGTGACTCAAAATCCTTTAATCCCTTTCTTAAGAGGACAATTATTCACACTCTTCAGCTATGAGCTGTGGATGGGGTGGAGATGTATCCCGTCTGCTGTAGAGACTAACAACAGTACGAGCAACAAGCTGGTTAAAGCAGGACTTACTGTTCACTTGCTGCAGCACGTTGAGTTTTCGGTTCAGTTTCTCTTGAACAGACAAGGACAAAATCCATGTAAGTAATCATCTCAGACATTGTTTGAAACTTATTATTAAGTCTTTCCTTTTCAGGTATGATTGTATAGTTTAAATAGTTAAAGATTTTGGCCTGGTAATTTTGGGAACAGCCTGATATTCTCATGTTAGGATATGTTTTTGCTGTCCAGTAATTGCAGCTTAAAATGAAACTGGGAATCTGATTTCTAAGAACAAAAAGACCTTATTTATGAATTATTAACCATCTACTGACCAATTACAGATCACACTCATGTCTCTCATTTCTTTCTTTTTTGCCCAGCATGCCTTTTGTATTCAACCCATACAAAAACCTCTGCACTGTTGGCCGTTTCCCAGCCATTAAACTGCAGGAGGACGACTGCAGGAAAGCAGCATGCTACACACCGATTCACACCAACCCTTGCGTTAACCCACGCACAAGCTCTTGTGTCAAACTTAATGTTAACCCCTGTACCAACCCTTGCTCTAAACCTTATGTAAACCCTTGCGTTAACCCATGCACTAACCCTTATGCTTACCCATATGTTAACCCTTGCGTTAACCCATGTGCTGCTCCATACGCTAATCCTTGTGACTTTGTCACTCCATGCCATGATTATGAGAAAAAGGAAGTTGTCGTCACGAAATATGTGGATGACTGTACAAGCACGCAAGTCTGTGGAGTAGAGAGTAAGAGTCTTTGTGTTTTCTTTATCTTTGTCCTGCAATGCATGATGGGAAATGTGTTATTCTTACTCGTTATAACTCAATGAATGATTTGTTTGATAACTAATTACCTGTTTTCTGCTTTTTTCATTTTCTCAGATGCTGTTCTCCGGGTGTGTAAAGTAGACCTTCTCAAATGCAGGACCGGACAGAATCGTCAGGAGCATCACACACATTGTTTCCTTGATGATCATCTCATCGTCCGCAGAGGACAGTGTTTCAACATGTGGGTTGATCTGTGCCGTCCTTTCAATCCCAGTTGTGACAAGCTTCACCTGGAGCTCAAACTAGGTTAGTTTCGATATGACCCAAGACAATAGCAGATATACTGTATCTACTTATGTTGAGGAGGAACATGTGAGGAGCTGAACCAGCATTTCTACCATCACTGGAATCTCTTTTTCTTTTGTATGTTTAACAGGTCACATCCCATCCATCCGGGACGGCACTTATGTGATCGTTCCAATAGTGCAAGAATTCAAGAAAGGTTCCTGGGGGGCAAAAATTGTGGAACAAGGCCAAAACCGAATCAAACTGTGTGTGCACTCTGTTCCGACTGCTTGCGTTGGACGATACCAGCTCAGTGTCATGACACACTGTCCAGGAGGCAGATTCACTTTACCTTATGTTCCTGAAAATGACATTTACATGCTGTTCAACCCCTGGTGTAAAGGTACGTGTTTCATTATACTTTTAAAATCATCATGAACCTGAATATATATTTAAAGTCCAATGTTCTCTTTATCAGATGACTGTGTGTACCTGAGTGATGAGGCGGAGAGAGTTGAGTATGTGCTGAATGACATGGGCAGAATCTACTATGGAACTAAGCAGCAGATTGCCTGCAAAACATGGAACTTTAGTCAAGTAAGAGCCAAACTTTCACTCATATATTACAAAAGTGTCTACTGTTAACTCATGTGTATGTCAGAGAGATGCTGTTAATCCACTGACTAAAGTGGGAGTTGTCCTAAATCATGTGGGAGTGGGTCACAGGAAAACGGCAGAAACGACAAAACTGTTCTTTTTCTAGTGTGTAATCCTATAAGCAGGTGCGCATTCACGACCAAAATAAAAAATTGTGCTGTGTAAATAAGTTCAGACCGCTCATTTGCGTACCAACATGGTTCACTGCAAGTGACATAACTGTGACGACTACTCCAAGTTGGTCTATACCAGGGTTCCTCAAATCTTGCCCTGTAGGGCCAATGCGCTGCAGAGTTTAGCTCCAACTCTGATCAAACTCAGCTACCTGTGATTTTCTCAAGATCCTGAAGACATTGATTAGCATGCTCAGGTGTGTTTGATTAGGGTTAACTAAATAAAAAATAAAAGCCAAAATAAAAGCTTACTGATTTTAAGTTTGAAAATGATGAAAATTCATATTTAAAAAGTAAATATTAGCATTTTATTTTTAGGTTTACTGTAAAATAATTGTATTTTTATTAGGGCTGTCAGTTGATTAAAATTTTTGATCTAATTCATTACAGGGTGCTGCGATTAATTAATCGCAAACTAAATTTGGCTGTGAAAATACCCCCAAAAGATCATTTAAATCTATTATTGTGTTAAATGTTTAGGCTACAATGGTCTAACATAAAGTATGGAACATAAAAGAAGATAATTTGAGAAACATCTCAGAATTTTTTGTTCATGCAATGAAAGTCACTAGAACAGCTTAGTTATACAAAATACCTTATTTTATGTTGCGCAAAAGAAAGTAAGTCATTCAGGTTTGAAACAACATGAGGGCGAGTAGCTAAATGATGATAGCATTTATAGCAACTATTCCTGTGTTAAAATATTTTAATCGCATTATTTTTTCATAACTAATTAAGTTAACGCGTTAAACCGACAGCCCTAATTTTAATTTAATGCGCCCTTTTTATTTTAGAATATAATATTACACTTTAGTATTTTGCTTATTATTTTTAACTAAATAAATAAGTTGCAATAATATTATTATCGCTATTATTATTATTTTTTTAATATAGTTATATTTAACGGGTCACACTATGTGCATTGTGAGGACCAAACCAAATATCCAGGTGCTCTAATGAGAACCAGGCTGAAAAACTTATGTGAACCCCTGCCTATAAGTAACAAGGGTGTGCATCAAAAGTGCTGGAACCTATTGGGGTTGCTGCTGGAAATGTTTTTCACATCCCATTTCTGATCCCATCTGAGATACAATAAGCTCTACTGTATATATAAGTATATATAAGCTCTACTGTATAACTTTTTTATGCACAAGATAGCATGACAAATTTTTCAATTTCCAACTTCCTCACTCCTCTGTCTGATTCTTAGTTTGAGAAGGGAATCTTGCCTGCATGTATGTATGTGTTGGAGAAGAGCTGTACACCTTGCTCAGGGTGGGGAAGCCCCATCAACATTTCCAGAGTGGTGTCTGACATGGTGAGTCTTCATTTCCTTCTTATCAACACCCTGATTTCATGTTGGAAAGCCTTTAAAATGGTCAGATTTGTTCTCTGCTGAGTATGATACTTCTGCATGAAGTTTGCGGCATTTAAAATAAAATAGTTTTGATCATCTCTCCTTATCAGGTTATTGCTAACAAAGACTGTGGTGTGTTGGTGGGTAACTGGTCAAACTGCTATGGTGATGGAACTGCTCCTACATCGTGGTGCAGCAGCAGTGCCATCCTGAAACAGTACTATAAATGTGGAGGAAAACCTGTCAAATATGGACAGAGCTTGGCCTTTGCTGGAGTCACCAACACACGTAAGAGTTTCCGCAGACTGGACGAGCAGAAAAAGTTTTGAGAAAGTGATTATAGATGTAATGCACTTATATTCTTCTTCACTTTCTTGTAGTGATGAGGTGTTTGGGCATTCCTGCTCGTCCAGTTTCAAACTTCTGTTCTGCTCATGACACTGATGTTTGTTTGACAACTGATGTCTATTTGGATGAGAAATTTCAGCTGATCGATCACATGAACCGTGATTCAATCTGGTAAGCATTATTAACAATCCAGATGTCATCAAGATTTCCTCTAAATGTCCATGAAGTGTTTCTAGTTCTTTCTTCTCTTCCATGTAGGAACTACCATGTGTGGAATGAGGCCTGGATGACTCGGTCAGATCTGCCATCTGGTTTTGGAGGTTGGCAAGTGGTTGATTCCACTCCTCAACTGACCAGCCAGGGCTTCTTCCGCTGCGGCCCCACCTCTGTTGCTGCTATTCGCAGTGGACAGACCTTCCTGAAGCATGATGTGCCCTTCCTTTTCGCCGAAGTGAGTTATTTCCTATAATTTACCATTGTGTCATACAGTGATTATAATGACATATGACTTATGATTCCTTTTGTGTCTCTAGGTGAACAATGATAAGGTTTACTGGCAGCGGAGATGTGATGGGACCTTTGGTGTTGTTCATACTGAGAAGGATGTAGTAGGTCACTGCATCAGTACCAAAGCTGTTGGCTCAGATCAACGTGTAGACATCACAAATCTCTTACAAACACCCACTTGGTAAAAACCACATGCATTTCTCTTAAAACTTCTGGTCCAGCCCTCAACACTTTGTTTGAACCATGGTGCTTATAGAAATAATGAAGTTTGGTGTCTCTCCTGTGATTCATCTCCATGTACATTTTACTCTTTCTTTCATTGATTAGGTTCTTCTGAGAAGAGCACTGCTTTGGAAACAGCCCTTCGTCATGGGTTGAGAAGATGCACATACCCACTGCCCTGTGCTGAGGATGTTGTCTGTGAAGTCAGCCTGAAAGAGGACGGACCATGTGTGGGCAAGGATGCCGTGCTTTGCATCAATCTAAAAAACAAATGCAGCTCACCTCGTAGCGTCACCCTCTACAGCCAGGCTGCAGCCATGTACTACACCGGAGTCAGAAAGACCTTCCTGAAGAGAGACCAGACATGCATCGAGCTCAAGCCCTCTGAATGTGAGAAATCTTAAAGTTTTAAATGATAAAGCTGAATGTAAGAAATGATAAAGAGTTGCAATAGATGAGACCCACACAGTTGGCATAATGCAGCTTATGGGTAAAGAGACTAGTCATGAAATCATAAGTATTCATTCAGTGTTTGTCATTTTCCCCACAATAGGCAAACCTCTGGAATGGACCCTGAGTTGTGACGAGTATAAGGAACACCTGGTGGATCACACCTCACTGATGCTCAACCTCTTTGGACACGTGGCTCAGACTAAGCAGGTTTTGGCCACCCAGTACAGCTTCAGACTGCGCACACCAGATCTCGTTATCGCTGTGAGTTTAAGGTTACAGTT